CAAGCTCGGCCGAGCTCCGTGCCAGTGCTGGCAGAGGAAGCAAATCCGAAACGAAGCTGCGTGCACGGAAGCTTCTGAACGCGTTTTGGCCTTGTGAGCATGACAGCCTTGACTGAGCCAAAGCAGGATCAAGCAGACCTTCTCGCTAGTGCCTTCTCTCAGCTCCAGCTAGCTCCCTGTGGTTTCAGGGTGCCATGGGTGATGGGTCCGGCGAGCGCCACATAGCCAGTAGCCCGCCTATAGGTCGAAAAGGCTGCCACTTTGCAGTAGGAAGGCCTCAACCCTCAACCCCAAAGCTGCTGGTAGTGCATCAGGAGAGCGCCCAGCTTTGAACGCTTAGAAGGACGAAGGAAGGAAGGACGGAGGCATGCTAATAACCAGCCCAGCACTTCCCCGTGTGCCTTAAAAAGCAGAAGGTAGTTCTTAACCCAATATGTACATGTCGCCTTTGTCGCAAGGGCATACAGGTTACTCTAGCTGGCCCTAGATCCTAACCCTAAGCTGCATGCTGCATCCAACGCTCGTGAACCGGAGCCGTTTCGAACGAAAGAAACTAGGCAGTCTCCTGCATCATGGAGCACGGGCTGTAGCTTGGGGACTGACTCGAGCCACCGCTGCCGCTTCCCACACCCCCACAGCCAAACATCCCAAGAGCCCAAACCCCTTAGTAACTTAGGCCCTAGTAAATCCTAAACCCTAAACCTCAATACTCGAAATACCCTTTGTGTTTAGGCACCCTGTGGCTTTGCTCTCAAGCGTGCTCGTCGGATCCCTATTGTCGGCCCTTTTGTGGCCATGGCTGCCAAAGGGGGCATTTGGGGCACACGGAGCGCCTAAGCCCCAAAATCCCCAAACCTTAGGGTTTAGGGGTTAGGGTTCAGGGTTTAGGGTTTAGGGTCTAGGCTTCAGGGTTCAGGGCTTAGGGGTTCAGGGTTTTGCACGGCCCCCTGCTTTGGCTCGTGCATCCGAAGCTCTCTTGCTTGGGACGTTTGCCCTCCCTTGGGGGCTCAGGGTTTCAGATTCTTTTCCGACAGGCTGGATTTTGGCAGTTCTCCAATTTTGTGGCGTGTTTCTGTTTGTTTGTTTGTTTGTTTTTTTTTTTTTGGGGGGGGGGGGGGGGGGGGGGGAGGGGTGGTGCCCTCAAAATAGACGGGACCTGAAAAGGGACCATAGTCAAGAGAACCAACCACCTGGTGTGGTTCAAAGTCCAAGTTGTTGGCTGACTGTGCAGGAGTTGGGAAGTGTGGCTTTGGGGAAATTCTAAACCCTAAGCCCTGCAACCCTAAGCCCTAAGCCCTAAACCCTAAGCCAGTGGCGGCACCGACAGGGTATCTGGGCTACTGGTGGCGGAAACACCTCGAAGCTCTGCCAGGCAGCGGTGTGATGGGCCGGTCAGGTCTCTTCCTGATGGCTTGGGGTTTAGGGTTTAGGGTTGGGGTTTAGGGTTCAGGGTTCAGGGTTCAGGGTTCAGGGTTCAGGGTTCAGGGTTTAGGGTTTAGGGTTTAGGGTTTAGGGTTTAGGGTTTAGGGTTTAGGGTTTAGGGCTCAGGGTTTGGGGCTCCGGGTTTAGGAACCACAGACCCCGAGCTTCAACAGCAAAGCAAGCCTTGCAGTGGGAAGGCTTCGGAATCAGAAGTCCAAACTGCTCGCCAACCCTAGGCTTTGCTTAAGAGAACTCCACCCCCCAATTTTTTGGGGTTCTTAAAAAATAGTAGCCAATGATTAAGGTGTCTGTGTTGCGCAAGCCCTCCTTGAGGGGGCGGTTACAAGTAGGGTTGCGTGCGCCTTGCTTCGGGATCTACATGCAGACGCCCTTCCTTGTAGCCCTCCCTACAAGAACCCCTACCCAAGAATCCTCAAAGCCCTAAGCCCTAAGCCCTAAGCCCTAAGCCCTAAGCCCTAAGCCCTAAGCCCTAAGCCCTAAGCCCTGAGCCCTAAGCCCTAAGCCCTAAGCCCTAAGCCCTAAGCCCTGCGCCCTACGCCCTACGCCCTAAGCCCTAAGCCCTACGCCCTAAGCCCTAAACCCTAAACCCTAAACCCTAAACCCTAACCCTACACCCTGAACCCTAAACCCTAAACCCTAAGCCGGCTTGACAGCCTCAAGCCTGAGCCCAAGCTGTGGTGTGGGAAAGGAGCAGTGGTGGCCTCCGGTTGCAAAGGCTTCGGGTGTAGGTTTAGGGTTTAGGGTTTAGGGTTTAGGGTTGCTGTGCATATTATTCGTCGCAAACTCCGGTCTCTCGACTGATGCTTAGGATCTTAGGGGCCCAGCCTCGGCACGCCGAAATCCCAAAGGGTTTAGGGTTTAGGGTTTAGGGTTTAGGGTTTAGGGTTTAGGGTTTAGGGTTAGGTCACAAGCTTGCCAGGGCTTTCGGGAAGTGGATCACGTCATCATGCGGCTTGGCCGGCAAGAGATTCCCAAGCTCCGGGTCCCGATTTGGTGCAAACCCTAAACCCTAAACCCTAAACCCTAAACCCTAAACCCTAAACCCTAAGCCCTAAACCCTAAACCCTAAACCCTAAACCCTAAACCCTAAACCCTAAACCCTAAACCCTAAACCCTAAACCCTAAACCCTAAACCCAAGAGCGAAAACCCCTACATCCTAAGCCCCTAAACGCGAAACCCTCAAACCCCCAAGCCCCTAAACCCTGCACCCCCACAACCCCCTCCTCCGCCCCACCTGGGCCCCCTCCAAGCCCGAATTCCAAAAGCCATATGAAGCAGGGTTTACATTACGAATTTTGGTGAGTGTATATAAGGTTCCTTTTAAATATTGGTGAGTGTATACCTTGGGTGTCCTTTTGGGGGTTACAAGAAATATAAACCCTACTTCAGATCAAGCCCAGAGCTGAGGATTATAAACCCTAAACCCTAAACCCTAAACCCTAAACCCTAAACCCTAAACCCTAAACCCTAAACCCTAAACCCTAAACCTTAAACCCAGAGCTGAGGATCTTCACATCCGCCGAGAGTCGGACCTTCCTCGGGTGCGACCCGAGTATTCTGGGAGATGAGGGCTTCGGGGGCGCCTAAAACCCTAAGCCCTAAGCCCTAAGCCCTAAGCCCTAAACCCTAACCCCTAAACCCTAAACCCTAAACCCTAAACCCTAAACCCTAAACTTTAAACCCTAAACCGCCTTAAGCTGATACTAGTAGCGGAGTTGTCGGACCGTGAAACTCCAACAATTCCTTTGAAGGCGATAGCGCATTTGCAACCCTAAACCCTAAACCCTAAAGCCCTACACCCTAAACCCGAGACCCTAAACCCCTAACCCCTAAACCCTAAACCCTAAACCCTAAACCCTAAACCCTAAACCCTAAACCCCTACTCCCTAAACCCTAAACCCCTAAACCCTAAACCCCAAACCCTAAACCCTAAACCTTTAGGGGCCACCAGGGTAAAGCCAGCGGCCAAAGCCCCCACGCCAGTGCTCTGTCTGGTCGACAGCACCTTCCAGCACCTCCTGTTCAACGAGGAAACTTCCAAATACCAGAGCTATGGAGTGAGAACCCTGCTCTCGGGCTACGCAGTCATCTGCCCTGGAGCCACGTTGACTACCCGCTACACCTCACAGGGAGCGAGCCATCCTTCGATTCTGGAAGCCCTCACACGCTTCGGATTCCTAAACCTTAAGCCCTAAACCCTAAACCCCTAAACCCCTAAACCCTAAACCCCTACACCCTACACCCTAAACCCTTAAACCCTAAACCCTGAACCCTAAACCCTCATCCCTAGACCCTAATCCCTAAACCCTGAATCCCAAGAGATGGGGGGTCGATCTAGATGATGGCCCCCTGTTTGGTATCCTCCACTATCAGGATCATACTATCACAGAGACCCCCCTAAGGGCCCAATGCCCCAGTAGAGGTGCTTCTTGTGGGTGTATACTGGAAACATAGGGTTATTGGGAACAGTCATGTTGATGAACTGCCGTATCACTTGTTGTCCCGAAGCCCCAGATAAGGAGGGGTGGTTGCTTTGAAGCCCTATAGACCCCTGAACCCTGAACCCTGAACCCTAAACCCTAAACCCTAAACCCCGAACCACGAACCCCGAAACACTGTGGAAGGTATGCCCGGATGGTCGACGAGCCGGATGACATGCTCTTCCCAGGAGCTGTTGCGTCATGATCAGTGCCTGGGTTTCGGGTTAGGGTTTAGGGCTTAGGGCTTAGGGTTTAGGGCTTAGGGTTTAGGGTTTAGGGTTTAGGGTTTAGGGTTTAGGGTTTAGGGTTTAGGGTTTAGGGTTTAGGGTTTAGGGGGTAGGGTTTAGGGTTTAGGGTTTAGGGTTAGAGTTTAGGGTTGGTATAAGCAGGGTTCCAAGTCCCACCAAAAAGGTTCAAGGCAGCCCTACAGTCCCAAAGCCCTAAAACCCTGCAGCGGGACAACCTTAGGGGTCCAAGGCACAACCCTGAGCCCTAAACCCTAAGCCCTAAGCCCTAAGCCCTAAGCCCTAAGCCCTAAGCCCTAAGCCCTAAGCCCTAAGCCCTAAGCCCTAAGCCCTAAACCCTAAACCCTAAACCCTAAACCCCCAGTCCGATTAAAGGCCCCAGAGTTGCTCCTCTCAGAAGTGCACTGGAAGCTGCGTAAGAGAATCTTGCCTTTGGTGTCCGTTCTGGTTTGGTCCCTTTTTGAGACTTCCCCTTCTCGCAATCTGCATATCCATATGTACAGAGAATATGCATGCATGAGCACATATGTAAGAACGACAATTTGCCACCCGGCAAAAGGACCGTGAGCCGTTTGTGCTTTCAGCAGACAGTCCCACCCTAAACTCTAAACTCTAAACCCTAAACCCTAAGCCCTAAACCCGAAACCCATTAACCTTCAAGTGGCTTCTCCAGGCATTTGGGGGGAATTCTCCAGTCGGCTGGGGCACAGCTTCAAGGCAGCAGCGTGGTCATGCGCGACTGAAAGAGAGGGGGTTAGGGTTTCGGGTTTCGGGTTCAGGGTTCAGGGTTCAGGGTTTAGGTTTAGGGTTTAGGGTTAGGGTGGTTCTGTCGTGAGGTTGACTACCTCAAGAGCAATGAAGTTAAGGGAGCGTCCGCTGTGTTGGGCTTTCATGTGAGGCTGAGTTGGGCTTGCAGAAGGGCTTGTGTCAGCGAGGATGCTCAGCTAGTGGGTATGAGGCCGAAGGCAAAGCACGTCGGCGCTCGCGAGCCCTAGGCCCTCAACTCTACAGGCATTGCCCAACCCCTTGAAGCGGAGAACTGTTGCTTGAAAGTCAAACCACCACCAGGCAGCTCAATTTTCCTCCAAGCTTCTTGTGTCAGCTCCGGATTGAGGTGTTAAGATGGTCTTGAGGTCTCAGAAAAATGCGGGTGCCAGCGAGTCCCTTCAAGCAAACTCACCCGACTTATTTGTGCATCGAGTCGTTGAAGCCGAAACAGACTCTCTACGATTCACAGCCGTTTCGGGTCACGAAGTGGGTGTATGGTTGAGTGCTTAGGGCTGAGAAGCCGTCAGCTTTGGGGTGCTGGGCTTGGGGTTTCCAAGCCCTCTCTTTAGGTTTAGGGCTTCAGCTGTTGCTTAGGGCTTGGGGCTTAGGGCTTAGGGCTTATAGGGCTTTTTGAATCCCGAAGCTGCCGCCGGGAGCCCGATGCACTGGCTTTGCTTCTTCGGGCTGCTGGCGGGCGCAGCCGGGCCGGCCGGCGCCGTCCTGGACGCGCTGGGGCGCGACGACGAGTGCACGGGGAGTGCAGGTGCCCCCTAGAACGCTGAGGTGCGCTAAAGCATAGTCTGTGAGAAGAGAGCTTAAACTCTGGCAGATTTAGGGTTTTTGGGTCTTTCAGCCCCTTGTTTTGTGTAGCCTGGCGTGGTAAGGACGGGCTTCTTCGGCTCCTTAAGACTTCGGGCTCCTTAAGACTTCGGGCTCCTTAAGACTTCGGGTCTTCTGCCGAGGCTTGTTGAAACAGCGTCTGCTTGGAACGGGCTATAAGTACCATAGGGGGAGGGCAGCGAATGTACGTACAGCGATACATGGTCATCCTTCCTTCTTGTTGCGTTGCTGCTCTTCTGTTGGTCCACTGCGCAGACACTTGACCAAGTCGTGACCGAACAGGGAATCGCAGAATTAAGTCAAAGAAACCCGAAGCCCTAAACCCCAAACCCTAAGCCGCAGCCATGGCAAGGAAAGCACATCTAGGGGCTGATCTCAAAGCCGGCCGAAATGACACAGGGCTAATCTCACCTCCTCAACCATCAACACTGAACTACCAATTGCTTAAGAACCCCGGAACATCCCTTATTAAGGGCAATATAGGAATATCATTGTCTTCTCTTTTGGGGTTTCTTAAGCAAATAGTAGTGAACCCAAGACGTTTGGGGTTTTTTGGGTTTAGGGACTAGGGTTAGGGTTTAGGGTTAGGGCCTCAGGTTAGCCCATGGGCCTTAGGTGCGCCTTGCGCGCTGACGGCCCTCCAGCGTCGACACAACGTCACGCGGGAGGCGGAGAGGCCAGGGCTTTGTGGGCTTGGGGTTTGGGGTTTGAAACCCTAAACCCTAAACCCTAAACCCGAAACCCTAAACCCTAAACCCTAAACCCTAAACCCTAAACCCTAAACCCTAAACCCTGGAGTCCAGGCAATGACCGTACCCGCCCAGCAGGGAATCGGGATTTAGGGGGCCCCTTGGGTTCTGTCTAGGCGGGTTGAGGGTTGAGGGCTCGGGGGTTTAGGGTTTAGGGTTTAGGGTTTAGGGTTTAGGGTTTAGGGATCGGGGTTGAGGGATGCTCCCCCTCTCCCCCCCTCCCCCCTTCCGGAGCTTGTAATCCACCCCCCCCTCCCTAACAATATAACCCCCCTCTACCCCCTAATCTGAAATACTCCCCGTCTACTACAACATAACCATAATCGGAGTAACTTTAAATTTAGGGGGGGGGGGGGGTAGGGGATTACTCTCCGTGAGCCCCTAAACCCTAACACCCTAAACCTTGCACCCTCAACCCCAACCCTAAACCTTAAACCCTCAACCCTGCCCCGCCCATCCGGGACCTTGTAACCTCCCTAGGGTTTAGGGTTTAGGGTTTAGGGTTTAGGGTTTAGGGTTTAGGGTTTAGGGTTTAGGGTTTAGGGTTTAGGGTTTAGGGTTTAGGGTTTAGGGTTTAGGGGAGGCAGAACCTCTCTTCCTGCTACTTCAAGGGCATCTACCTGGCCGGCGAGGTGGGGGTGTCAGGGTGGATTTAGGCCTCAGACTCGTGTTAAAAGCCCTAAGGCTTGAACTCTAAAACGACATCCCGTCGAAGCTGCTTGGAGCTTATTCCCCTAAACCCTAAACCCTAAGCCCTAAACCCTAAACCCTAAACCCTAAACCCTAAACCCTAAACCCTAAACCCTAAACCCTAAACCCTCAACCCTCAACCCTCAACCCTCAACCCTAAACCCTAAACCCTAAACCCTAAACCCTAAACCCCTTAGGATTCGACACATGGCTGGCTGAAGCGGCCCTTGCCCTGGCTAAGGTGAAGGAGGTGAGCTCCTTCCCAGACATCACCGTGAAGGTGGTATCGAGCTTCTGGGTTGCTGTTAAGAACTTGTTTAAGTCAAGTTAGGGTTTCCTTGTTGTGGTAGCTTTTCCGACAGCAAAAGCCAGGTTTTCCCGACTTGGATGTAAAGATCGTGAGCTCCTTTCCGCACTCCTGCGGCGAGTGGAAGATGGTCTCGAGCTTTCCCGACTTCACAGTCGCTAGGAAAGGCCTTTGGGACATTTACATTTTTTTCCTTAATTTGGGCTTAAGAGGCTTAAACTCTAAACCCTACACCCTGCACCCTACACCCTAAACCCTAAACCCTAAACCCTAAACCTCAAGCCCTAAGGCCTAAATCCTAAACCATAAACCCTAAACCCTAAACCCTAAACCCTAAACCCTAAACCCTAAACCCTAAACCCTAAAGCCTTTTTTTTTCAAGGGTTTTTTTTTGGGCCATCCGAGGTCAAGTTCGTTCGCAGCTTCCCCGACATCAGCATCCGCTACGTGAGCAGCTTTCCCGGCTTGCACCGCTAGCCTGGCTGGCTCTGAGTATAGGGACCGAGGGTACCCATTGGGGGTTTAGGGTTTAGGGTTTAGGGTTTAGGGTTTAGGGTAATCCCTGCAAGGGCATATCTAGGGCCCTACTTCCCTCATTCCCTTTTAAGACGAAGCAGCCGGAGCCTTCAGCGACAGCAAGCGTTGCTCTGGCATGTACATAGGCGGAACATTTCGACGGTTTAGGGTTTAGGGTTTAGGGTTTAGGGTTTAGGGTTTAGGGTTTAGGGTTTAGGGTTTAGGGTTTAAGGGGCCTCCCTCTGTTCACCCTGCTTTGTGCAGGCGGCTGCACCCGGCCTGGCCAAAAAGTGCTCATGGCATCGCCCTGCCCGAAACCCGACAGCCCTAAACCCCAAACCCTCAACCCTCAACCCTCAACCCTAAACCCTAAACCCTAAACCCTGAACCCTGAACCGTAAACCCTAAACCCTAAACCCTAAACCCTAAACCCTAAACCCTAAACCCGAAGTGCTCTTGAGCCCTCCCGGATCCCTTGCTTGCAATGTGGGCTCGGAAGGTGCACTGGCTGAAGCAGTGCTCCGTCGGGCTGGTCCAGCTCCCGGGGGGTGTTTTGGATTTCTAGATAGTGAGGGTTGAGGGTTTAGGGTTTAGGGTTCTGGGGTTTGCAGGTGCCTCAGGGCCCTTGTAGGATTTAGGGTTTTAAGCGCAGAAATCCCCGGTCCGCGACCGTTTGGAACCCAAAGATCCCTAAACCCGGACCCCTATGAGCGATAAGGCCCAATGCCTTCTAGGCGCGCAGGCTGTGCATTCTTCTTACGGGCGTTTGAGGGTTGAGGGCGGACCGCATTTGGCAATCAAACTTACATGTACCCTAGGTAGGATTACAGGGACCCTCAAAAGGGAACCCTTCTCAACCCTCTTCTGCCTCTCATAAACAGGGACCTTACTGATAGTGCCTATATCCCCAAGGGTCACCCTAATCCTATCCCGTAATGTAGTTGGTTAAACAGGGCAAGGAAGCGTTTAACTTACATGTCTCAAAAGGGGGCTCAAGAGCAGTTGCGTCTTGCGGTTTGCTTGGGTTCAGGTTGGGGAGATTCGGGTTTTGCACGCCAATACCTTAAGACCGAGACCCCAAAAGACGTAAGCCCCAAAACCCTGAGCCTGAACCCCTTCAACCCTAAACCCCTAAAACCCAACCACCCCCATGCCCTAAACTAGGCTGCCCAGTAGTACCCTTATTCCCTTTTTGGGGGGTTTAGGTTCCCTTATAAACCCCTTTAAGCAAAAAAGGGGCACCCCCTTTAAGCCTAGGTTACTGGGCAGCCTAGTAAAGCCCGAAGCCTTTCCTTCTGCCAAGGCTCAGGCTGACCACATCCGCAACCCACACAACAACGACGAGCCCGTTCGCCGGGGCAAAGACGGCCAGGCCCGCGATTTAGGGGCTTAGGGCTCAGGGCTTGACCTAGACCCTAAACCCTAAACCCTAAACCCTAAACCCTGAACCCTGAACCCTAAACCCTAAACCCTAAACCCTAAACCCGAAACCCGAAACCCTGAACGCCCTTCAGCCCCTCCTAAACCCCGTTAAGCCCCTCCTAAACCCCCTTTAGCCCTTCCTAAGCCCCCTCCTAAGCCCCTTAGGCGTTTTTGGCTGGGTTGCCTACCTACACAAAGTTAGGGCCTAAGGGCTCTTGAGGGATTCTAGGGTTTAGGACTTGGTGTTTCAGGTTTAGGTTTTAGGGTTCAGGGTTGAGGCCTCTTGGGGGTTGGGGGAGGGTCTGCTCGGCAAGACTTTACCCTAAACCCTAAACCGTAAACCCTAAACCCTAAACCCTAAACCCTAAACCCTAAACCCTAAACCCTAAACCCTAAACCCTAAACCCTAAACCCTAAACCCTAAACCCTAAACCCTAAACCCTGGATTTGGAGAATCCAAGCCATCCACACCCTCAACTCTAAACCCTAAATCCTACTCTAAACACCCTGAAACCCCGCAGCCCCAAAGCCTTGAAGCCCTACCTCAAAAGCCCCACAGGCCCAAAAGCCCTCAAACCCTGACACTTTAAGAAGGCCTGGAGACTTCAAGCCTTGAAGCCCTTACACCAGTAGGGTTTAGGGTTTCGGGTTCAGGGTTTAGGGTTTAGGGTTCGGGGTTCAGGGTTCAGGGTTTAGGGTTTAGGGTTTAGGGTTTAGGGTTTCGGGTTTAGGGTTTCGGGTTTAGGCTGTTTCAGGAGCTGCCCGCCAGCGTCGGCGAGCGCCTCTGCCGATTCCTCTGGCAGGCGGACGACGAGGACCTCCAAAGGGAACAGAGAAGGAAGAACCGGTTTAGGGTTTAGGGTTTAGGGTTTAGGGTTTAGGGTTTAAGGGTTTAGGGTTTAGGTTTTAGGGTTTAGGGTTTAGGGTTTAGGGTTTAGTTTCCCTAAAGCCCCAAAGGGTATCACCTGAAGCCATAAACCTCGTAAAACCATTAACGCTTGACGCCCGGAAGCCCCCCTGTCGGAGCCCCCAAGGGCTGACCAGGACTTTAGGGTTTGGGGTTTCGGGATTGAGGGGTTCAGGGATTTCGGGTTTGGGGTTTTGGGGTTTGGGGTTTAGGGCTTGGGGAATTGGGGATTGAGGGCTTTAGGGCCTCGTTGAGGGTTTCGGGTATTCAGTGTTTTCGGGTTGGGGTGGGGGTTTTGGGTGAGTTTAGGGCTTCGGGTTGAAGGGGTTAGGCTTTAGGGTATGAGGGTTGGGGGGTTTGGGCATCTGGGGTCTCGAAGTCTTGGGGCCTAGGGTTTGGGTTTGGGAAGCCACTCCGCAACCGTCAACCGTGGAATCTTTTGGCTTGTAGTTTTAGGTGCATTCCTGAAAAATTCGCGGTATCTGCAGCTCCCGAAACCCTAGCCCTAAACACCTAAACCCTGAACCTTAAACCCGAAACACGGAAACACCGAAACACCGAAACACCGAAACACCGAAACACCGAAACACCCAAACACCCAAACCCCAAACCCCAAACCCCAAACCCCAAACCCCAAGCCCCAAACCCCAAACCCCAAACCCCAAACCCCTTCCCCCGCAAAACAAAAATCAAAATCAGGTTTACGACTAGCTATCAAACCCAACCTGCAGAACTACTACCCTCGGGGACAGGTTTTAAGGTTTGCGTTTGCCCCCTAAGCCTTATAAAATGGGTTGGTGGTCTCTTTAAGTAGGGTTTCTGTTTCATGGGGGGCATTTCTTGGGGTTCTTGCTAGTAAGGCTATGTTAAGGTATAAGGTTTGGACCCAAGAGGCCACCGGCCTTTATAGCCCAAAGCCCAAAGCCCTAAGCCCTAAGCCCTAAGCCCTAAGCCCTAAGCCCTAAGCCCTAAGCCCTAAACCCTAAGCCCTAAACCCTAAACCCTAAACCCTAAACCCTAAACCCTGAACCCTAAAAGGTATACCGGGTATCAAGTAAAGAGGCCACCGTGCCTTTACAGCCCAAGCCCTCCCTTCGCTGTTGAAGGATATCCTCAAAGGCTCTGAGTTCCAGCTCCCAGCCTGAGATTGGGGAAGGGATTGGGGGGGGCGGGGGGTTTAGGGTTTAGGGTTTAGGGTTTGGGGTTTAGGGTTTAGGGTTTAAGGTTTAGGGTTTAGGGTTTGGGGTTTAGGGTTTTGGGTTTAGGGTTTAGGGCTTAGGGCTCAGGGGCTTGGGGTTTGGGGGTGGGAGGGGGACATTTGTTTGGGAGGTTGAAGTGTGGGGTCTTCGGGTCTTGTAAGGTCTTATAGGGTTTAGGCTACCAAGGTTTGGGGTCTGAAGTTTCGGTTAAGGGTTCAGGGTTTAGGGTTTTGGGCTTGGGGCTTCGGGTTTAGGGTTTAGGGTTTAGTATTTGCGGGATGTTGGGTTTGGGGGCAGCTTCTCGGAGTTTGAAGTGTTCGGGCTCAGGGTTCTAAATGTTTGCGGGCTTCGGGTTGGTGCTTGGAATCGCTTCCTGAAAGGTCCCAAATGAGTCCAAGGCGCTAACACACGTGAAGGCCCAATTCTGGAGAGGCCCTGGTGTACCAGGTCTTGGGTTTAGGGTTCAAGGTTGAAAGTTTTGGCCTCCGTGATGGATTTGGGGTTTCCCTTTATTGGTGTGTGTGTGTGTGTGTGTGTGTGTGTGTGTGTGTGTGTGTGTGTGTGTGTGTGTGTGTGTGTGTGTGTGTGTGTGTGTGTGTGTGTGTGTGTGTGTGTGTGTGTGTGTGTGTGTGTGTGTGTGTGTGTGTGTGTGTGTGTGTGTGTGTGTGTGTGTGTGTGTGTGTGTGTGTGTGTGTGTGTGTGTGTGTGTGTGTGTGTGTGTGTGTGTGTGTGTGTGTGTGTGTGTGTGTGTGTGTGTGTGTGTGTGTGTGTGTGTGTGTGTGTGTGTGTGTGTGTGTGTGTGTGTGTGTGTGTGTGTGTGTGTGTGTGTGTGTGTGTGTGTGTGTGTGTATGTATGTATGTATGTATGTATGTATGTATGTGTGTGTGTGTGTTTTTGGTGTAGGGCCCAGGGTTTCAACCTTTAGGCAAGTCCGAATTCCTAAGCCCCCAAACCTGTGTCCCACATCCCAAAGCCCGGAATCCCGGCACCCCTGGGCACCCCTTAAGCACCCGTAAGCACCTCCGAAACACCTCCGAAACACCACGTAAGCACCGGTAAGCCTTAGACCCTAAGCCCTAAACCCTAAACCCTAAACCCTAAACCCTAAACCCTAAAACCATGACTGAGAGCTCCAGGTTCGAGCCGCGTGTGCAGTATGAGTACCCGGAGGAGAAGGAGCCCCCCGACACCGGGATGCCTGCGGTTCGGGGGCCTTTCGGGGGTATTGGTTTTAGGGTTTAGGGTCTAGGTTTACGGTTAAGGTTCTGGGGGTTAGCGGGTGGGGGTGAGGTGTTGTTTCTAGAAGGTTGTCTACAGCGGGTTTTGTCGGGGTTTAGGGTTTAGGGTTTAGGGTTTAGGGTTTTGGGGTAAGTAGTAGCGATGCCCCCCCTCGCGAGTCAAAGTTGGGAGAGCCTCGAAAGCTGAAAGCTCCAAGCCTTCGCACAGTTTGGGGGGGCGACTTGGGGTTCAGGGTTTGAGGGTTTGAGGGTTTAGGGTTTAGGGTTTAGGGTTTAGGGTTTAGGGTTTGGGGTTTAGGGTTTAGGGTTTAGGGTTGAGGGTTTAGGACCCTAGACCCGACCTAAGCCCTGAACCTTGCAGGCTTCGCCCCGAGCGGCCCTGAGAGTAAACTCCCTGAGCTCTAAGCCCCCAAAACCCTGAACCTTAGTAACCCTAAACCCTAAACCCTAAACCCTAAACCCTAAACCCTAAACCCTAAACCCTAAACCCTAAACCCTAAACCCTAAACCCTAAACCCTAAACCCTAAACCCTAAACCCTAAACCCTAAACCCTAAACCAGCTTAAGCCCCTCTTGTAGCTACCCCCACCCCCTTAAAAATGCAAAATGGGGGAGGGGGGGGGCGCGGAATTGTAAAACGCCTTTACTTACAGTCATCAGAAAAACTGGCGTCCGAGGAGTGCCGCAAATCAGGAGGGCCCCAAAGTGTAAGTTACAATTTCAGCATCCCTTCCTCGAAGGGTTTGGGGGTTTAGGGTTTAGGGTTTAGGGTTTAGGGTTTAGGGTTTAGGGTAGACCCCAATCCCTGATCCCGAGGAGGCCGAAGCTGTCAGGGCCTCACCCTGCATTGCCAGGGAGAAGACCGCGAAATTTACTTCCAAGGGCAGTTTAGGGTGGCTTGCTGGTGCCCTTGTCCCTTTTTTGATTCAAGGTTTGGGTTGCTACTGTACCATGGACGCGGATCATGTTTCGGGTTTGGACTGGTGTAGTTAAGACACAAGCATTGACACCCGCCCGTTGGTTAGGTTTTTTTTGCGAAAGAGGTGTGAAAAAAAACTCATAACATGTTATAAGGGGTAGACAAGAAGATAGCAGAGGAACACCAGCAATAGCACATCTGCATCAATCTTGCAGCGAAGCCCAGTAGATTTTCGGCCACAGAAGCCCCAAACTGCAAGCAAAAGCGGGGGGCGCGCCCAGATCCGCCCAGTTTAGACCCTAAACCCCCTAAAAGCCCCTTAAACACCCCAAAGGCCTACTTAAAGCCCTAGACCCTAAACCCCCTCAAAGCCCCTTAAACGCCCCAAAGGCCTACTTAAAGCCCTAGACCCTAAACCCCCTAAAACCCCTTAAACACCCCAAAGGCCTGCTTAGAGCCCTAGACCCTAAACCCCCCCCTAAAAACCCCTTAAACGCCCCAAAGGCCTACTTAAAGCCCTAGACCCTAAACCCCCTAAAAGCCCCTTAAACACCCCAAAGGCCTACTTAGAGCCCTAGACCCTAAACCCCCTAAAACCCCCTTAAACACCCCAAAGGCCTACTTAAAGCCCTAGACCCTAAACCCCCTAAAAACCGAAAACGCCCCAAAGGGTTAGGGCTGCGGGTTTCGGGATGGGCCCTGCGCACGAGCTCTCGGCTACCAGGCCCCTTTGGCGCTGGAGGACGTGAAGAAGGCCCGGATCCCCAACTGTTTTTTTTTTTTTTTTGGGGGGGGGGGGGGGGGGTTTGTTGGGTTTGGGGTTTAGGGTTTAGGGATTAGGGTTTAGGGTGGCGGTTGGGGTATGGGCGGTATAATGAGAATCAAGAGTTTCACATCGTTTTCTTTTTTTTCTCCCGGGGTGGGAGTGGGGGGCGGGGGCGGCGGCCAGGGGGGGAGAAGGTGTGGCGGCTTTGGTTTTTCACGGGTTTGTGGCGATTTAGGGTTGTAGGGCTGCATGTAGCGTTTAAGGGCGTTTAGGGCTGAAGCGCTTCAGGGCTGTATGTTTTGTTTCAAAAAACTCTTTCGGCTGTAGGGTTGTAGGCATTAGGGTTGTAGGGCTGCAGGGCTTTAGGGCTTTGGGGATTTTGGGTTGCTCGGTTTTAGCGTTTAGAGTTGCCGCGTTTAGGGCTTTTGGGTTGGACAGGGCTGTGCGGGTGTGTTTTGAGTTCGGGTTGAAGGGTTGGGTTTATTCCGCGCCCAATGATTCGAAGCTTTGGGCTATGATGCGGCACGCCGCCATAGCCTTTCTACCCTTCGCATGTCCTAGGGCGTACGTTTAGATTCAGGGAACTTGTTAACCAATAATGACAGTACTTATAACGGTACTTATAAGCCCCTTAAGTGCCCCAATATGGTTATAAGTACAGTTATAAGCACAGTTATAGTTGGTGAGTAAGTACCATGAACCTCCAAGTGGGGTTTGGTGTTTAGGGACAAGGGGTGGACCTCCCAAACTCACGGAGCGCTCAAGTCTCCAAACTTTTAGGGTTTAGGGTTTAGGGTTTAGGGTTTAGGGTTTGTTTGGCGCATCGAGTATAAGTCCTTTTACATGGGTATGACGTCTGGCCATTAAGCACTTTCAGGTTAGGGCATGAAGTTGGCATATGATGATGACTGATGATGAATGGAAGATAATATGCCATCGACATCGACGAGGAGATCATAATACTTGATGACGGTGATGGGTGAGATGATGATGTCGAGCGACTTTAATACCTTGTGCTCTTGCCGAATATCGTGCGTTGGTCAGACATGTATAGCATCTTGTTGTCTTTCAAGTTGACTGCCAAAGCACGCTTCAACCGCAGCGCGCTGGCTCAGAAGAGCTCTTTTGAGCGACGAAGTAGAAAAAGATCTTTTGTTCCCCCTTTGTGTACAGGCCCCTATCCTTGCGCTGTGCTCTTCTAATACTGGAAAGCCATAAGGGAAACCTAGGCGCCAGGGGAGGAAGAGATAGCGAGCATAAGGTGGAAGCTGATAGACACCATAAGGGAAACCTAGGTGATATTGGCCAATACGCTTGTGCACCCCTCAGGTCTTGCAAGCCTGAGTATCCTCTTGCATACGCGGTGCAAGGGTGGCTTACCGTTGGGAAAGGATTGGCCCCTGGACCCGACCCGTTGATAGGGATACTATCACCTGGACTACAACTTCTACACCTACACCTGTTTATAGCGATTCTCCTTCCAGCCCTGAGCTAATACCTGTTGGCGCGGGCAACATTTCTTGAATAGTTTGTCTATTCCACCACCTCTTGCAGGTTAAGAGCCTTGTCGGTTCGGCTGTGAGTGGGAATATCGCGATACAGTTTTCCTTTCTTTGCGACGTCGTGGACGAGATGGCGGATGATAATCAGGATTTGCGTGCGATCCTTGACGCAGCTGCAGATACGCAGGGATCGAATATCTTTGGACTGGAGGACATGCCGGCCAGTAGTGATACATGGGATCCTTTTGGACAGTTGGCTTTGGAAGACGGTAGTCAGGCTCATACTGAGGTACCTCGAGATGATAATATTGATGAGCTGAGGGCGATTGCAGATATGAGTGTAGCTGATCCGTTGGCATTGGTTAATATGTTTGACGCGGAGCATCACGATAGAGCAGGAAGTCTCACCATCTCTTCGACTTCTGAAGGTTCTGAATCCAGAACGGCGAGGACGAGACGTGATGATAATACCGCAGATGGTACGAATATCGGCGGTGAACGTTTGACTGGAACCTTTCATATAATATCGAGCTCTGATGGTGGAGCGATTGCGGGCAATGGAGGGCATGATGAGTCAACTCATAGAAGCCTTATGATGCTGCCCGATCCTCATATTGTTTCAGGTACTGTTCATAATCCTGTTGACGACGTAGGATTAGAGAATAGAGAACAAAATGTGTCTCCTATCAGTCAGTTCTCCTCGACAGGTCTGCGTGAAAGTGAAGAAGATAGGGGACGCGATGTTGTTGACGAGCCTGGACACAAGCGTGAATACCCCTTCGGGGATGAGGATCCCGCGACTGCGATCAGAGGCATACTCGGTCAATCCGGAGTGTTGACAGGGGATGATATAATAGCTGCAGCATCTGCGGGATCTCAAGGTCATGATTTTCACGGGCATACAGGGAATACAGGAGGGACGATGGCAAGCATATTGTTCGGTGAGGAGAATAGAGTTCGTCGCCCTGAGTCAGTTAAAAGGGGCATTGATGAAGGAGTCGATAGGGAGATTTCCAGAGGGAGGATAATATCGGGCGACGGAGGGGCGACCATGGATCATGCAGCTAGGTCTGACGACGCTTCCGATGCAAGCGCGAAGCGAGTGAGAGGAGCTGAGGACTTCAGTCCTTCTGTTCATATGGCTGGGAGAGTCACCCCTGAGAGAGGTGGAGGCGGAATAAGTGCTTCGTCATCTGGTTTGAACTCACCCGTTCCTACTGGATCGGGAAGGCTCATGGAGCATAATATGTTTACCCCACCTACTGATAACAAACCTGGGAGCTGGCACAGAGCAGGTTCGAGCCCTTCGAAGAGAATAGCTGGTGCTGGAATATCGCCTGAGAATGAGATGAGGAGAGAGATCCTAGAGATGGATGGAAAGGTTTGTCAGCTGGAAATGATAGTCATCGATGCTAGGGAGGGAGTAGGCAAGAATACTGAGGATCTGAGGAGAGTTGATAATATGATTTCGTCACTCAATCTGACAGCACATGAAGCGCATAATATGGCGGTTGATGCATCCCGTAGATCGAACGAGGCGGAGGTCCTGATAACATCAAGAATTGAACATGAACTTCAGGCAGTTCGCGAAATTGCCGAAGGTAGACCTCAGGATTCAGGTCAAGAGATGCACTCAGTTCCAGGAAGCGCGATTGGGACGATGATACACAAGAACAAAGAAATGATCGATACTGTGAGGTCCTCCACCGCATCATCCTTTCAGTACTACGACAAAAGACTCAAGGATGTTGAGACGCATAGCAATGAGAGGATCAGCCGCGTTGATGATGATGTTAGCAAGCTTCATACCAAGATGAGGTCGATGTCAGCTGCGACGGAATCGCATACACATGCTTTGGAGGGGCATAGGGCTGCGTTGAAGCTGTCTCGCAGTGATACAGGATGGAGATCTTTGAGAGTTGAGGAAGCTGAGGAGTCTATCAGAAAGGTTTCTAGCCGAATAGAGCGATTGGAGAGAAACATGAGGACGCAACAACCGCCTGGTGAATCTGCGGGGTCTAGAGAGATAAAGATGAATATGTGTGAGTCATTTGGTTGCTCATGCGGAAAACCTGGTACAAGTCACGGGGGTTGCATAGATGCCAGGGCCCGCAAGGCTGTGCAGGACAGTGTAGGGATCATACAAGGTAATAAGGAGTCAATGGGAAAGGTGGCAAAGGAGCTCATTACGTTGAAAACCCGGGCGGGTGTGCTTGAGAATGACGTTCATGGCAATAAAGAGAGGCTGCAAAAGGTTTCGGATGTCGCTGAGAAACGTCACAAGAAGTTGGTAGACGGTGTAGATGACCTGAATAAAGGAATATCGGCGGTCGTGAAGGAGTCGGACGCCACTTCCGAGAAGAACGAGCTAAACATAATGGGGGTGAAGCGCGACGTAGGCGAAGTATGCGATCGAATGAGCAAGCTAGAGTCAGCGAGTCAGGAGATAATATCCAAGCAGCATGGTTTCGCCGATGACGTGATTGAGCTTCGCCGGCAGATTTCCAAGAATACCAAGATGATAACCGGCCTCGATGACATTAAAGGTGCTCAAATACCTCGCGGTAGAGTGCAGGGGGGTCAAGGGAACGCGGACGCGAGATCAAGGAGTGAGAATGCTCCTACTACGTCTGGTGAGCAATCCAGGGACTTGGAATCCATTGAGTTCAGATACACTCAGCTAGAACGGAACACCAGAAAGGTATCTGTTCAGCTCGAGGCGTTGGGGGAAGAAGTTACAAGATCAATGAGAGATACATCCTCGTTGAGATCCGAAATGGGGATGCTCAAAAATGAGTTCAAAGGGAGTACGGAAATGAACGCAACATACCTTCATGATATCAAGGAAGAGAACTACAAACTCAAGGTGAAGGTTGATTCATATGAAAGGACCATGGGGGAGATGAGGGAGGAACAGGAGAGACAAGCACAGCTCATAAGGGAGATGAACGTTCGCATAGAGGGAGCACGACAACAGGAGAGTGTGAAGACAGAGCTTGACAAAATATGGGGACAGTTATCATCGTTGGTGAAAGCTAATAGTGAGCGCGCTGCACCTGCTGCGTTCGACGAGGCATCGAGCTTTGCAGGAGCACAGAGGTATGCCGGGGGGACTCCTGCAGCGAGCACATACGGTGACAGTCAGACTCCTAAGCCTCATGATCCCAGAGGGAGGAATCATGATCTCTTAGGAGAGCCTGAGATACGTCAGCCGAAGTGTAATATGTGCGGGAGAACCATAATAGGTGACTGTTATCAGTGCAGTGGCTGCGATAAGCGAACATGTTCGGCATGTATCAACCCTGACTCCATGATGTGCACTGCTTGCATTGGCAACGGATACTCGGGGGGAGGATGGGCAGGAACCGGTCTTCCGAAACCCGATGGCAAGGGCTTGAGTGGCGGCTTTGGGGGAATGTACTACCCCAATGCAGGGATGCCGATTGGATATGGAGCGGTGAGGGATACGCGCGGTATGGACAAGTG